TATATATATATATATATATATATATATATATATATATATATATATATTGATTGAATTATTTTACATGCTATACGACTATATTTTAAATATTAATTAATTTTTAAAATTGACGAGATGAATTACAACTGATTTCATTTCAAATCTTTTACGGCTTTGCCGTAACTATTTACTGAACCCAACCATTAAGCGCATCACAGTTCCTTGTGCACAACAATATATCTGACGTGAACTCCTTTTAAACGTACGGCTGCTGGTTAGTTACGCGCTTTAAGTTTCTCTTTTCCTGTTATACTACTGCAGCAGCGATCTTACTCGTGTACATTATTGCCGAAACAACCACAGCCGTCTTTCCGACAGTTGAAATTTATTGTTGAAATTTTCTAACAAAATATTTTTTTCCTTTTCGGTACATTCGACCGTATACTATTGGCACCACTACGGTCTGCGGCCCATCTAATGCGTCTGACTTATTTATTTATGTTATTACAGTTCTTCTCTCAGTTCCTCGAACAACTATTGTATATAAAGACGTGAATATGGCGTCACACGATGAACTGACTATTTTCTTTGTCATACCATGATATAAATAACATCATCCAAAATTATTTAATAATAACAGTTTTTTCGAATCGTAACACAAGTCCATATGCTTACAAGTATGCATACAATGATTGAAAATTCAGGTTATGAAAATAATATCTTTAAACTAAATTCTTCGTAGATAAATTACAATAATAATAATTTCGAAACACACTGGTCTGAATCTGGTCTATGTTACGATGAAAGTTCCTGTAATATTAACTGAATAATTATTTGTGTATATATAAAAAAAAAAAACTTTTCCAATTTGAAAAAAAATGGAGAATTCGCAAAAGTATTCTTAATAGATACAAAAAATCTGTGTATTGGATAATATATAGATAGTGTTGAGTACGTACCTACATTTTGTTGGAATTTGAATAAAAAACGAATAGTTTAAACATAAAAAGAGATGAGAATACTTAATAAATCACCCCTTTATATGGTACAACAACATATTATATGTTTTTATAATGTTTTATTGCAAACGATAAAATGTATGTGAGGAGTAGTTTTGAAATTTTTATCGTGTTTTTATTCTAATTACATAATAAAAATTGAAAATTCTTTGTTCTACGGGGTTAGATGTTTGATTCGTCATGTGTGCATCTATGCTGCTATATTGCATATACATGGCGCCGAAAACACCGTAATATTGACAATATTATTATTATTTGCCATTTTTGGTTGTCAAACGCAATAAATATTTGTAAATCGTTTGATCAAAAACGTTTATGAAAAAAAAAAAAAAATAATAATAATAATAATAGTAAACGTATAAATTGAAAAAGGAAAAGTTTTTTTCGTCATTACTTTTCAAACCTTAAGTGCGTTCGTCTATTTGCGTACTACCGTCTGTTTTTATCCTACACAAGGAAATCGTAGTCGGTGTTTTT